AATTTTATTCAAAGACTACAATTATTATAACTTTTAGAGGGGTTCCCTGTTTGTAGCCGTGGGATAAAATTTCAACGGCCCGATGGGCTTGGTCAGGAAGATCCTTACCCTTTGCTCAGGAGAGGATCCTGATATGCATGTTTTGATATGGGTCTAATGTATTGCACAGTCATAGGTTGGGTCTAATAAGTAGAGCAATTAAAGTGTCCATAATTTGAAAACAAAATTGCAGCGACTGTCATTGGATGTTTTATCATGGCTCTTCCAGAATTAACATGGAACTTTAAGTTACACATCAAATCTCATCATTTCATAAAAAAATAAAAAAAAATAAAAAAAAATCTCATATTTTTTAGTGTAAAATATATCGTTGTATTAAAAAAATAAAAATAAATAAATAAAGTGTTACTCATCAAATCTCGTCATTTCATCAAAAACTCTATTCGATTCCTGTTTTGAATTTTCCTCACGATTCCTACAGATTAGTATCCAAGGGCGGAGCCAAGTACAAGGCTCCCCTAGGCTATAGCATAGGGAGAGTTTGGTTCTTCAAGCTTAAAAATATTAATTTTTAGGTTAGTTTATGATTTTTAATTGTCATAAGAAATGAAATTTTTTATTAGTAAACCTATGTTTAAGAATAATAAGAGCTAATAGATGTTAAATAAACTCATCACTTTAACCAATATTATATTTAATAGTAATAAATTAAAACTTCCATATCACAAATAGTTCCTTATTTTATTCACTTGAAAGCTTTAAAGGCTAGAAACCTAGAAAACATAGCATAAAATTCTTGCTTCAAATTACTACATTCAATTTTTTACTATTATATAACTTTATGTAGGCAACATAGGATTAAAAAACTTGATTATGTAGTAATAATTTTTGCTTCGCCCACACACCGAATAATTTCTGGCTACACCATTATTAGTATCCAGATTTGAATTTGAATTCGCATGAAGCTATGAGAACTACAAGTAATTTTACATGTTTTCGTTGAGTTGTTTACAGCAGTAAGCTTCATTTTTGTTGGTATTTGTTACATGATTCGCGAGCATTATACATTGATTGTCTTATGTAAGTAATTGCTCAAGAGGCTTTTGACATTGATTGTGTTAGCTTCAGGGGCTTTTAACATTAACAAGATGGATGACTACATCTTACTGTTAGAATCATGTAAAATTACTTATTCCACCATGATAGGTAGTTACAATACGATAGGTAGTTTAGCTTGTACAAGTACTTATATGGCAGGTAGTTCAAACTGTAAAAGTACTTATATAATGGGTAGTTTAGATTATAAAAGATCAGTTAAAATCTAAGTTTATGCCGACTAATATTATAATATGATAGCTAGTTTAGCTTGTACAAGTACTTATATGACATGTAGTTTAGACTGTAAAAGTATTTATATCATAGGTAGTTTATATTGTAAAAGATCAGCTAAAATCTGAGTTTATGCCGACTAATAGGGTACCTGAGTTGAAAAAAAAATAAAAAAATAATATAACTAATAGCAAGGCCCCCCAAGAGATTTGTAGGTATCTGAAATTTTGGAAGTGTCCTAAATTAATTTTAGGAAATATGTGGGGCGAATAGAATGACTCTAACTTTGACTTATAGCACACAGCTTTTTGCGAAAAAAAAAAAAAATTGAAATTTTTAGCTTTAAGGAAAAATTGCAAAACTTTTGGATGTGAACCTACCGATTATTAGGTCCTGAAACTATTTTTTTATTGATTCTTAAAGTGAGAAAATAGAAAAATATCTTTAAATTTAGGTTTTAAATCATTGATTACAAGTGTTTAAAAATGAATTATAATATATTTTACACGGAAAAAATATATTTTGAAAAATATGAATATAATAGTTTATTGTTATGATAAGAGAAATAAAAGAAACATTAACAAAATAAAAAATAAAAAAATAAAAAACTTAGAAAAAAATTGAGAAGGGATGGATCGGTATGAAAATAGCGACTTTTTGGGATATCAGTCGCTATGAAAATAGCGACTTTTTGGGTTATTAGTCGCTATTACTATAGCGATTATTTTGAGAATAATCGCTATTAACATACCGATCGTATCATTTTCTTTTTCTTTTTTTTCTTTTTCCATCGAATAACTATAGTAAAGTAAAATAGTAATCACAATGCAAAGTATCAACCTAACAACAAAAAGTACTGACATATGGAGTCCTATTCATGGACCTAAATAAAAACAATAACTAAAAATTGGACTAATCTAATTGTTAGGCCATAAAATTGGGAAATTGATCATTTCCGGATCTCTTCCATCAAATCCACCCAATCACCTAATTTGGATCCTTGAAATTTAGTCAAACGGCTAAAATTATTATAACTTTTAAAGGCTTGAAATTTAGTCCGACGGCTAAAGTTATTATGACTTTTAAAGGGCCCCCTATTTGTAGCTGTTGGATCAAATTTCAATGGCCTGAATTGATTAATTGGATCATAACTTTTAAAGGGGCCCCTATTTGTAGTTGTTGGATCAAATTTCAATGACCTGAATTGATTAATTGGGTAGATTTGGTGGAAGGGATCCGAAGAGGATCTCTTTCCATAAAATTGGACCTATTTCAAGTTAGTTTATTTACACATAACAAATTTGTAAGGAAGAAGTTAATTTAAACCACATATTAATGAAACTCTTTTTGTCAACTATAAGAGGGTGAAAAAACATTTTTGTCTTCTATCACAAAATAAAATTATGGACAATAAAGTAATTTGCACAAACTAAATTTTACAGTTGTTTTTAAAAGTATCATCTACATGTAATCCTAACAAATCACCTACAAGAACTTCAGATTTTTATGGGTGTATTGTTTTATGAAACTTCAAATTTCTATGGCACTTATTTTCAAAACTTCAAGTTCGAATTTAAGTACGAAGTCTAGGTTCATGATACCTACAAACAAACACAATATACATATGTAGTGAATGGGAATAGCTTTGGGACCTATGTGTGAAAAGAATGAGTGACGACCCAAAATATGGGGCTGTCGTGGCTTGCAGGCTCAAAAGAGTGGTTGTTGGGTTGCTGAGCAACAAAGGAGAAGTAAATGGGTTAACATATTATATACCCAATTATTGGGCTAAGAAGGAAAAGTGAAAAACAAAGCCTAACCCATGGGCTTGTTATTTCATGCGAGCCAAAAATAAAACAAGGCCAAAAGAAAAAATAAAACAAGTGGGACGGTTTAGTGCATATGCCCAATTGGGTTGCAGGTCGACGGCAGACAGCCCAGGTCCATAAGAAAGGTGATGCAAAATGGCTTTATTTTGGACCTTAGAGTTTTGGAGCATGAATGACTTGGTGACTCGAGCAGCGCGGCTTCAGACTGCAGCTCCCATGCGTGTAGGGTTTGAAAAATCTAATTTTTTTTTCTTTTCTTATTCACGCATATTCAATTCATCACAATTATAAGAACAATAAATTTAAGATGAGTCTATAATTTGAAAAAAAAAATGTAAAATTAGAGTTCATGCTTCATGGTGAATGTTTCATGCAATCATTGCTAAAAAAAATATCGAAATTGAAACCATGTTTTATAGATTACTTGGATTGCTTGATGAATATTGTGAACGACTTTGTAATAAACAAGCATTCAGCTCCTTAGCTCAGTGTCAGGAGAGTGTTTAACAATGCGTTGTAGCCTAAATTTAACTAAAGGAGAGAGAGAGGTGTGGAGCTGCGTAAAGAGAAAATATAGGCTTGGGAATTACTGTGATGATATTTCTTCGTACCTTGTGCCTTTTTTAAGAAAAATAATGGGGTTAATTGCCCTACAAGTAATACAAAGTTGTGCCTTTTTGTTTTTTATAATTAATTATTGAATTGGTTCTCACTAACATTAGTAGTTGTTGAGACTATAAATACTCAAGTAATGATTTCTGTTGTAAAACTGGTGTGAATGCCTACGTAAAGAAAACAATCACATATGGCTAAGGGTGAAAAGTGGAAGAATAGAAGTCAAAATTATATTGCTTAAATAGTAGAAGTTTGGTTTTTATTGTTTTGGTGTGTGAGCCTTTTACATGCATTAAAAGAGACGTATGCTTGTATCGTATGGGTAGTACAAAAAGATGAAAAGCATAAAGTAATAATCATGTTTTCCTCATTTGTCCCTCTCTACGTTCATTTCTCTTATTTAATACTAGTGAAGAAAATAAACAGAATAATACATGGTTCCCGTTTCACATCAATCTCTAACAACTCTAATAATATATATATATATAGGTACAAATCATCTGATAACATATGATCAAGGTAATCATAATCTTGAATTGGTCAAAGCTCCAAAAGACTCCAAAATAAAACTGTCGAACACTCTAATGCTTTAACACATTCAATCACATATATTAAATATTAGTCTGTTCCATCAACTATATTTTTCTCTTAAATGAGGCATATATATATATATATATATATATATATATTATATGGCCTTTTATAACCAAATATATATCGAGATACTAAACCTAGTTAGAAACTAATTATTATTCTTTTTTTTTTTTTTTAGTTTTACATATATTAAAATAAACGGTTAAATGGGTACCCGTTTATAACCACAGGTAATACCCATAACTGCCTATTTAAATTTCACGGGTAAACGGTTATACCCATAATCGTAACCGTCAAATTTAAATAGACGGATAACCACGGTTATTTATAGCTAATGGGTATTTGCCCATCCTAGTCATAATTGAGATTTCCATTCAATTTCGTCTCAAGTTTTGCACCAGAATGGCACGCATGATCAAAAATATAATTTTTTTTGTTCAAAAAAGTCGTTTCTTAATTCAAAAGCATCATTTCGTAGATATTTTTGCTCTTGCATTTGTGTGAGCCTAACTTATAACTTTTAGACAAAGAGACTCGCAAATTAACTATAATCAATTATTGCTTCAGTAGGCTTTAGGGTTTAGGGCCAAAATTTAGAGAGAGAGAAGGTGCGGCGTAGAGAAGAGACGAAGAAAGGTTTCAAGAGGTATGTGTCTAGCCTTGTGCCTTTATTTATTAAAGAAGAGAGAATAACTTGCTCTCCAAATAATACAAGCATAAAAGAAAAGATCTTCTACATCCCAAAAGATTCCTAATTTACCTAAACAACAATCATACGTCCTCAAGTGAACAGTCATTTTAAACGAGATTGCTACGTGGGAATTTAACACAAGATACAATAAACCGTAAATTAATTGTTCATCAGACTTGAAATATTTGCCATCTGCTGTTTGAAATCACCAGAAAATGCTATACACTGTTTGAGATATATCATGTCAGCAAGGCTGTCGATCGAGTAAATACCAGCACTTCCGTCCAATCTCCCCCAGCTCAGCTGGTTGGTTCTGCACCCGATAATCTGCACGCACAATCACAGCCGTCCAGTACTGATTTCTGTTTTCCGATGAGTATAAGAATGGCCACCTGCCGACCTTGCGTTCTTGCATTTGGTTTGCTAATATAGTTGGCACATACATGTAGCAACCAAACACTGATAACTCCTTTTACAGCACAAGATCTTCGTTGCAATACAAGATCAGCATCCTAACAAGCAGATAAGTCACACTCATTATATAAGTGGTTGCAGTGGAACAAAATGAAACATGGAGGCTTACTTTTGGCATTCTATTGACTGTAAAGGGACCGAGACAGTTACAGAAATTACAAAAAGATGACGTGTTTCCATTGTACATGCAATAAAACATGCGTACAAAGAAATCAAACACACATGTTTTTGAATATTTTTCTGAGGAGGTAGGGCATTACTCACCTATGCAAATGGATGGATGGAATGAAGGGTGAACAACATCGAACATCAGCGCCAAAGCTTTTTTTGGTCAACATCGAACATCGGGCCCAGAGCTGAGCTCATCCTTCCAGTACAAAATAAGCAATCAATTATCTCCCAAACAATCTTTGCCAAGCACGGTGAAGTCGACACTCAAGCAGCAAAGGATTTGAACTTTCCCCGTCTTTTTTATACATCAAACATCTTTCAATATCCCCTTCTTTATTTTGGCCTAACAAGGAAAAGGATGATCAAATGTGAGATAATTTTGGAAAAACTAAGATGGTGCATTTGAGTGGACTTTTTTTTTATGTGTGGGAGATCTATCATGTCTTTGTGTACGTAACATTTCTCTCTGTGTCGTATCAGGCCAGTGCCCAATTTTCTTCTATATAAACCGTTAATTGAATGGCTTTGAAACTGTAATTTGACATTCCACCATTTTAGGTCTTAACTTCATGGGCACCAACATTAAACAAATCATAACATTCTAATATTTCCAATTCCCAATTTGCAGTTAAACCCTAGTGAGCAGGAAATAAGCATGCATAAATCTGTTAGTATTTCATGTATCGTTAATCTAAAACATCAAATCAGCCAAAACAGTGAAATATAACAATCACCACAGAGATGCCAAGATCATTCTACCAAAATGTACCAGTCATGCTTACCATTTTGAGTCAACAAAGGCAAGGTCCTCGTCCCAGAGAAACATATTGTACTTGCTGAAGAGACTGCATATTCACAGCGCAAATAAAGACTGCAAAGACTACAAATCCAGTATCATATTCTCCTGAGACATCAATAACGAGCTTTTGTAGCATTTTATTGTGTAAACGCTCAGTATTCACAATGCATAATGCTTACACGGATCTCTGGGAATATAATGTTTTAAAATCACTTCCGCTTGTAGTAGTGCTCACAGATAACAAATTAAATACCAGAAACCAACATTTTTACGGACCATCCATTCCCTCAATCAACATTGAATATGTCTGAGGATGAAGCCGGCAACCCATCTTCTCCATGATGCTTATGAGCTCAGAGCATATATTGACAAAACCCCTCTTAAGTAAACCATCAAAAAGAACTTTCCAAGCTACTTCATCGTAATTATATTCGCAAAGAAGCAAAGTACGAAAAATTGCTTTTGCCTTCTCAGTCTTCTCTTCATCAAGAAGCCCGCATACAAGCAACGTGGAGGACTCCAGTGTCGGTAAATAACCATCCTCAACCATCGCATCCACCAAGGTTGCTGCCTCTCCATACTTTTGCAATGTACAGCAACAGGTAAGAAGAGAATTATAAATATTCTCACTTGGAGAAATTTTCCTTTCTCTCATATGACTGTATAACCTCTGGGCTACTTCCAAGCGCCTCTCTTTGCAAAGACCTATTATAAGTTTTTCATAAGTGTTGGTACCGGGTGCACAACCATGTCCAGCCATTTTTATAAAGAGCTCTAAAGCAATGTCAAAATCCATTGTCTTCCACACATCACTAATATCAATTAAGGAGACTTTTCGGATCAAATCAATTTCCACCATATTATTCTTTGTCTCCGTCAACTTTTCATTCGAAAGATGTTTGAGCAGAAAGGAATATGTATAATGCGAAGGGTCACAACAAGCATCAAACATGCGCTTAAGAACATCAAATGCACAATCAATTAATCTCATACGCCCATATCCATCAATTAGCAATGTGTAAGTCAACGAATCTGCTATAATTCCTTCTTCATTCATCTTCATCATCAATTTCTCTGCCTCTTCTACATTTCCTATGCCGCAATATGCATGAATAAAGGTAGTGTAAGTAAACAGGTCAGGTTGATTACCGGAACTAACCATCTGGTTTAAAAGCCTATGAGCATGGTCAAAGTCCCCTTCCTTCAACATTTGTTTAATTAGAATTGTATAAGTATGTGTTGTAGCTTTTACGCCAATACTTAACATCTTTTCTACCAGTGATAATGCTTCCTTCAGTCTTCCTTCTTTGCACAACACATCTATCAAGGTATTGTAAGTGAATGAGTTCGGCAAACAGTCTTCAGCAAGCATTCTATCAAACAAAGAATGGGCATCGTCGATTTTCCCAACCTTGCAATAACCATCAATCAAAGCAGTAAAGATCACGTCATTTGACTTTATGCCTTTCTCATTGAGAGAATCAAACAGGGCATGAGCTTCTTCCAGTCTGCCCCTCTTACAGAGAGTGTCTAGGAGAGAACTGTAAGACCATCGGTCAGGAACCAAACCACTTTCTTTCATCAAATTAAGCAACCTGTAAGCACTCTCAAAATGACCCATTTTACACTGCCCATGGATTAATGAGTTGTATGTATATAGGCTTGGTGAGAGTTTCCGATCAAGCATCTTACCAAGCAATGCCATTGCCTGGTGTATATTTTTCCTTTTACAAAACCCACAAATCAATTCATTGTACGTCCGAGCATTTGGATAACAATTACTCGATTCCATCAAAGCCAAAATACCAAGTGCAGCCTCAACTGCTCCCTCCTTGCAGTACCCATCAATCATTGCGTTGTAAGTGACAACATTAGGAACCAACCTTTTCTCCAACATCTTGTTTAGCAAGTTTCTTGCCTCGTCAAGCTTATTTTCCTTGCACATGCTATCAATGAGCACAGTATAAGTATGAACATTTGGTTCACAACCCTTGTCCGTCATCTCTTTGAACAGATTCATTGCTTCTAATTTCCTTCCCAATTTACACAAGGCGCAAATAAGAACTGTGTATGTCCGCACAGTTGGAAAACAATTATCCTCCCCCATTTGAGAAAACAACTTTAGAGCCTCATCAATCTGATCAGCCTCGCAAAACCCATGTATCAAATTAGTATAGGAAACTTCATTTCTTTGACAACCCTTTTGCGGCATTAGCTTAAAAACCCTGTAACCATTATCCACATCCTTATTCCTACAATGTCCCAGTATCAAAGAAGTGTAGGTAAATGTATCGGGGTGGAAACCCGCCTGCCCTATCTTACTGACATACAAGTCTGCCTCAGCCACATTACCCACTTTACAGTAAGCATTGATCATGGTATTAAAAGTATGCAGATTTGGAGAAACCATATCGTCTAACATCTCCAAATACAAAGCTTTCAAATCTTGAAGCAGGGAAAACTTAGACAATGACATAAGAAGAAAATTGTAGCACCTGAGGGTGAGCTTGAACTCGAACTCTCCGGCACCATTCAACTCCCGCAAAAACTTGAGCACGAAAAGGGCATCTTGAGGGGAACTGGAAGCCTTAATCATGGAAATTCGGATCTTTTCTGCGACCTGGAGAAACCCATTGGGGAGGAGAATGTTGAGGAGAGAAGAGTGGCAATGGACGGTGTGCTTGTATCCGGGTTTAAGAGCTATCCAGTTGAAGAAAGCGAGGGCGGTTCGGGGGTCGAGGTTGGGAGCGAAGACGGAGGAGACATGGGAAGGGGATATGGAGGGGGCTAGTTGTTTAAGGGAAGGGTGGCGCTGCCAATTGGGGCGGGATAGAATGGCGAAGAGCTGGGAGGATAGATCGTGCGGTTCATTGGAGAGGGGAAGAGGAGCGGCGGCGGCGGAGGAAATGGAAGAGAAGGGTTTGAGGAGGAGGAAGAGGAAGGGTTCAGGTGCGTGGCAGATGACGGCCATGGGTTTTCTCATCATCTTCTTCTTCGGGCATCGAAGGAGGACCCGACCCAACTCACTTCATCGTGTACGACCAAGAAATGGTGTTTGAGTTGCAGAGTGGGAAGAAGAAGAAGAGGAGGAGGGAGATAAGAGTAAATAGTTGGTTTGTTTGGGTTCGTTTTGGAATTTGGAGAAATCTCTGCGAGCTCAAATCAATGAGTGGGCTTTTTGAAGGGTTTTTATTTTGGGAGTTCTTGTCACCGTTTGAAATCAGACTGCTGAAATATTAGAATAATAAGGCATTTTAGGGCTCGTTCAGAGGTTATTTTAAAATAATTGAGAACGTTTTTTGTGGATTGATCTTAAATTTCAAAAGTATAATAAGCATTTTCTTCTTACAAGAAGTATTTTCAGTGCTTTTTTGAAATCCACTTGGATTTTTTGTTCAAAAATATTTTTATCAAAAACGTTTTTAATTATTCTAAAAGCACTTCCAATCGAGCTCTTAGTCAAAATAGTCTATGAGATTGACATTACTACTCACTCTATTTCATGACAATGAAAATCAATTTAACTGGTCCTTCTGTTTGTCTACCTTCAATCATTTTGGTTGTTTCGTATAAAATTGTCAATATCCTTGTTAAATTGTCACATGAATGACTAGGAATTGTCGGGGGTAAAAGGTTCCAAAAAAAAATGGAGGCAAACAAATTATTTTAGATAGTAGACAATATTAATGTCATTCATTTATCAATACAAACAAGTTATAATTGTTGTTTGCGATGTTTATTGTAATCAAAATATCGCATAATAGGCTCATTATCAATAAAAGGAAAAAGATCTCTCCCCCTCACTTAACCATGCTATCACTCATCATTAATCTCCCATTTTTGTCACACATGATTGTTTTCACAATATTCATAATAGAAAACGCTTTATCCACTAAAGCAGTTGTAACTGTTACCACCAAAAGTTAACGTAAGAAACTAATACACTAACTTTTAGCTTTCACACCTCCTAGTCTTCACCAATTCCTTTGAAAAATCACTAATTTCTTTTACTGATGAATACTCACTATGCATCTTCATATCATGAATATAATTGTCAAGTTGAATTGGAAGATTCATAAGGTCTACATGATTAAAATTGTGGATGCAAATTTCTTCCTCCTTGATCTTGGACAAAATTGCACCTACAAAACAATTAACACCTTAGGGTCAAGGCCAAGAGCCTCACTCGCCCACGATGAATTGGGGGGGGGGCTTTGGCCGAAGAACCTCCGATACCAAAGTTAGAACTTAGAGAGAAAAGTGTTTAGAGAGTTTTTGGAGTTTTGCAAGAGTGTGGACTTAGGTTTTTAGAGGAAATGAGGTTGAATATGTAGTGCATGGCCGGTCCCCTTGAGAAAAGGTGGCCAGCCCTTTGGGGTATTTTTGTGTGAAATGAGTGATTTAATTGGTAATTAATAGATTGATTAGGAATAAATCCATTAATTAGCCAATTAACTCAATTTATATGGAATGTTTTGAAGGTTATGAAATAATTACCTTGTGGAAAATACAGAATGGGGATGGATGAAACAACTTTGAATTTGTTACCTATTTTGGGCACTTTTGACTTGATTGTGGGATGTTTGTCCATTACTCACGTGTAAGAATTCCAGTGCTCCTTAAGGGTAATTTTGTCATTTTTGCCCAAAAATCCACATGTTACCTCTTGATTATTTTTTGCTCTACAAAAATCTTAAGGATAAAATTGGAAGAAACGAATAAAAACGTTCAATTTCTCACATACACAACGTCACATGAATGATCACCAATCTAAGCACATTGTTGCAGATGCCAACAACGCCTAAACAATAGAAACCTTTGCGTGGGCCTTAAAACTGAAAACCAACAAATTTTAACTTCTTACCTGTGCGGGATTCACAAACAAACAGCCAATTATTTTCTTTTTTCTTTTTCCTCTCTTCTTCTTTCTTTTCTCTAGGCATTTCTTCAAATTTGCATACAACAAATTGAAACAAAAAATTAACCGCGGTGCAAGGTCAAATTGAAAAAAAAGCAACTTTATACGCGTTACTGGCAGATTTGACTCACGTAGTGGGCAAGATTTTAAAAGCAACTAGGTACTAATTGTAATCGAACATCAGAATGGTGCTAGTCTTAATAATTTTTAACTTGAAAATAGTTTTTTTGCTTTAATTTTTTGCATTAAATTTTTTGTCTGAAATTATTAAAAAATGAATTTAAGATAATTTTTTTGTTACAGTAACCTTTTCTAAATAAAAATTTATGTAGATTATTCTAATTTAATTTTATGAATATTTTAATCTAAAAATATTTAGTTTCCGATAAATATTAAAAAAATCATTAAACCGATACCATGAAACTGATAGATCATTATCAAAGAATATAAATGACACATCCTGACCCAAAATGTCCACTTGGACTCCAAACCAAGATGTGCTAGCCGACACTTGGAATGTGACAAAACCATAAAGTGTAGTGATGTGGAAAATGTGTATAAACTTAAACTTAAAAGTGCCTAAGTAATAGAGTGTGCAGTGAGTGGGAATGAACCCATTTCACACGTGATGTCAGAGCATAAGTACAATACAGTAAGATAGGGTGAGAATTATACCATCGAAGGTAATCATCTACACCAAAATTTGCCAATAATCCTTGTTGACATGTAAACTCAGCAATAAAATCTGGAGGGGCAAAAAAATTAAAGGTGAGTGGGCCTAGAAACAAATATTTGTAAAAACCTTTTTAAAAACATAATAACCTTTCGCTGTAAAACTAGTATAGTTTCCAAAATACACATACTACGTATAGTAAAAAAATATTTACCGTAGCCTGCAAAATCTCAAGAATTCATTACGGTACAATATCTCGTAAATAAGGGCATGACATCCATAATCACAAAATCTCACATAAGCAACATATCATATCAGGTGCTCATCGACACATGCTGACACACGAGTTCATGCAGAGGTATTCTGACATGAACATGAATGGCTGTAATAATAATATATGCTCTAGTACTACAATTACGTGAAAACTGGCGTTATGCGCAGCACATACGAGTCGGAGTTGCCTATGACAACCTGTATGACAAGACTGGCACCTACAATGGATCCAAAGTGAGCGTAGGTGCGATGTGAACGTACATGTGAAGGACTAGCCCTAGACTGGACGAGTACTAACACCAGTGTAGCAAACGATGAGCAGATAACATCAATATGGTCATACCACAGCCATTCAACAATTCTAATCAATATCATACTATTCATGACCATAAATATAATCAAGGCAATCACATAAAGAATTTATTAATGCTTGTATATATGGAAACTAACCAATATATATATATATATACACACACACACACACACATTTATATATTTTATATCTTTATTAATTAATGAAACCTTCTTTGTCAACCAAAAGAGGGTGAAAAGACAACTTAATATTCTATCATACAAAAAAATGATGGACAATAATGTAATTTCATAGGTCCAAATTTTACTGTTTTTTATTGAAGTCTCACCTACAGGTGATGTTAAAATATCTCTAATATTAAAATAAATAAATAAATAAATGAAACCAAAAACAAAAATCTTCCACTCCCCCCACGTTCTCTCTCTCTCCCTCTCTCCTTCTCATTTTCTAAAACAATGTGTTCATACACACAAAGGCAAATGCTAGTATATATAAAGAAAAGACCCACTCACAGATCATGTAGCCGAGTCGAACCCGCCTCATAGCATCAAGAGTCCTTGTAATCATTTTCGCCTAGAAACGGAACCATTTAGGTAAGTATAACATGCTAATGAAATTACGCATTTTCATACAAAGTACGGCTAATAAAGGAACTATCCTAAAACGGTCGAATTTCAGAAAAAGGACAGCGGATTCAGAATTAGTGCATCGAAATACACTAAAGAGGGTCCCCGTCAAATTTTACAAAAAGTCAACAATTAACTCTAAAAGTCAACTAATGTATATATTATATAGGATAACTCACTGATCAATGTAGGCCTACTAAGCCCTACAGGGTGTGTTTGTTGCACCAGACTATCTCGGACTAGACTAGCTTCAAGAACTAAGCTGGACTGGCTTAGACTAGACTAAGTTGGACTATCTTTGTGAAGCGTTTGATGCAGTGTCGGACTAAAAAGCAGAATAATGAAAATAATAATAATTAATTATGTTTATTTTTTTTTTCTTTTTTTTTTCTTGTTTTATAACACTCTCTCTGCCCTCAGCCTTTTTTTCATCCAAATTCCACAACTTTCAAGAATCTCATCTCCTTGAGATAGAGAACCTGCACATCCAGAAAGGCCAATGTAGCAACCAGATCGGCTCCAAGTTATGGGAGGTCATCTACGACGAGCACGGCGTTGACCCCACCGGAAGGTACCGCGGAGTCTCCGACTCCGATCTACAACTCAAGATGATCAACATCTACTACAATGAGGCCTCCGGCGGCATGTTTCCCCCGTGCCGTCCTCATGGATCTTGAGCCCGGTACTATGGACAGCAATCGATCCGGCCTCTTCGGCCAGATCTTCCGCTCTAACAACTTTGTTTTTTGCCCGTCCGACGCCGACATGTCAGGTAAGTTTGTGCTTGGTCTAGTGGTGTGATTTTGCAGGATAAAGGATAGAAGAGAGGACGCGAAAAGAGGGAGATGACGTGATTCTAATACGTAAGCAGCAATGAGAGAACGAGAAAAGTAGATAGAGGAGGTAAGAGTAAAGTGATGCGTCATAGCTAGTCCCATGGTTTGGAGGGGACACGCTAAGACCAGCTAGCCCCGTTGTTAGTCGAGGCGAGTCCTCGCTAGTATCACTAATGTTAGTCCCGAGAGACAAACAAACACGAATTGCACTAAATCTTTAATCCAATCCAATCCAGTGAAAGCTAAAGAGGGCAAACAAACGCCCTCACAGTCTCTAGTAATACTGATTTTAATATTCAAGATCAATTCATAACATATTGTTCAAAAGTCAGGTCTCTATCAAAGGTGAGGTCCACAACCTTACACAAGTCAATTTGGAACATCTGCCCATGGATTTCTGATCCATAACTTCCCAATTTTCACATTATGCTTATAAAACAACATACTAAAACTTCTTTACAATCCAACGATTGAATCTCCACCAATCGCAAATTCAAGTGGTGGTTAATGTTGGATTTTACAAACTTTAGAAATTCAATTCGAGAAGATCCGTACGTCGGATTCCTGATCCGTAAGTTCATAAAGTCCATAAATATTACGTATTATCACATATTAAAGTTTGGTGCTGATCCAATGGTCGGATCATCCATTCATATAATAACCAATTGGCGGCCAACTAGGCGGTCCACTACGTAACTATATTAAAACATCAAGATTTCACTAAACGGATGTCAATTATGGAATCAGGGTATCAAATTAGCCTATGATGGTTAGGTGGGGTCTTAACCCACGGGCCGCTCAAACTCGCCAGAAAAATCAACTATTTCCAAAAATTACCAAATTTCACAGAAATGAATATCTCAATGAGTAGAGAAAGTTTTATACCTGTAGCCAAGTCCAATTTGGCCAGGAAAATCCATAATTTCACTCGAACTCGCCGGAAACCCTAGAAATGGGTGGCTTCGATCCGTCACCTCCGGTGGTATGCCGCCCTCAAACCTGTTTGGGCATTGTTCCTGACCTCTAGAGGAGTGTTTTGGTGTGGTAATTGAATTAAATTGTTTCAGAGTTGGTGGATCTCGGGCAAGGGTTTCCACATCACCCACGGGTTCAAACTTCGTGAAATCATAACCAATTCTTGTCGATTTTAGCTAGAATGGGATGATGGGAGGTTGTGATGAGGTTTAGTGGTGATGGGAGGTTGAGGAAAACAGGAAAAAATGGATGGAAAACTATCGGGAAAGTCACCGGAACTCGGGTCGGGTCACGGGTCTTCAAAGGGATCTATTCCCCTTCTTTTTTTTCTCTTTTCCCCTCCCTTCTCTTGTTTCTGATTGGGCAGCCCCCCAATCCCTCATTTTCTCTCATCTCCCTTTCATCCCAGCCGTCAATCTTTCTCCTTTCTCTTCTTTCCTTTCATCTCAGCCACACACGTGCCACATCACATGGTTCCATAAAATCTGGAGCCTTCTAGAGTGAAGGTTAAATTTACTATATGCCCTTGACTTTAAATGTTAGTAACTCTCTCATTATAGCTCCAAATTACGTTCCGTTTATGCTCACACGCTCATATCGACGATTACTACACAAATATGCTATATATATGTGTGTGTGTGTGTGTGTGTATATATATATATATATATATATATATAAAGAAGTCATAAGTCTCTCTAAATAATGGTTAATGAAAGTCAAAATCCTTGCCTTTAGGGGCCTTTTCATCAATTCACACTTTTAAAATTTATATTATCGTAAAATTAGGGAAGAGTTGTCACAATGAAACACATGAAAGAATTTTTTTAAATTACTTTAGCCGTTGGATTTAAATTTGAACCGTTAGATCTTTTTTTTTTTTTTTTTTTTTATTGTTGGATTTGATTATGTTAGATCTTAGTAGTTGGATTCAATGACTTTGTAAATATAAAACTAAAAAAAAATGCACATATATGGTGGACCAGTCCACTAACCCAAGGGCAATCTTGGCTTAAATTTGCTTTAGAAATGTGTTTTGGGTTAAAACTCATATTTGCTCTAAGGGTTAGAGCAAGTTGGGGGAGGTTTAGAACCTAAAATTTGAGTTTTACTCCAAGGGTTGGACTAGGTCTTAGGATGTATAAATTGCAAAAAAATAAATAATATATATTAAAACATACTGAAAACATGAGGAATAAGCATATAATAAGTGTTCATCCATGTATTCAACAAGCATCTTATCTTTTGTTAAAAAAAATAAATGAAATGCAAAATGAAAGTTATTTATTTATTGTCTAGGTGGGAGTTGTGACCTAAGTATGTTAGGTGGACACTTAAGCGGGTCTAGACGCACTTTACTAATTTTTAAACACCTAGAAATTAATCAAGAATGATAACTAGCAACCTAGCGTCAATGCGGCACTAACGAGGATTTTTAAAACAATGGTAGTGGGTCTTGAGTATGGCAGGTTGGTGCGAGCAGCAGCGGGTGTTGCGTAGCCCAACAACAAACGACATTGCAAGTTTTTGTGCAGGTTCAAAGAAACCAGAGGGAAATATTCTCGCTCTCAAAGTTGATTTCAACTACTAGAGGTGTGGATGCACCTCCTCTATGGCTTCATCATTACCTAATAACATCACATGGCATAAATAATACAAAAAGGACACATTAGTGTCACTTCAAAGTATAAAGTGCTAAGTCTATAAAGCAATAACGAGACATCAAGCAAAACACTGTAAACATTTCGATAAAATCTACGCAATTTCCCCAATAAATTATTAGTGAAATGATGTAATCAATTTATATTCAAATTCCATAAAACAACTAACATTTGACGAGGAAAAGGGAAAAAGAAAACATCGAAGTGAAACCTTCAAATTAAGTTCAAAGTCAGACGCGACCCACAAAAATAAAAATGAAGTCAATTAGAACATCTCTAAATGAGATGTTAAAATGTTCAAATCAACATTAACAGTTATAAAGGGCAGCAACAAATGATTTTCAACCGAGAAACCAAATCTGATATGGTATGATATGGAATAACAGCTATCACTTTTGCTGTTAAATTTAATAGCACCTTCAAATAATTTTTTAATTCATTATTAAATACGTTTTGCTAAATTTTATTGTTATAACACATTTATTGTAATTAATTAGTGATTGGTGCGACCCATCCAATCCGTCCAAATCTTCGAACTAAAAAACACCATCGTTGCAATGAAATAAACAGAATGTTGTGATCTTCGACGGAGACTCCCTTGCCCCCATTGCTGCAATGAAATAAACTGGGAGGATTACCCTCTGCTGGGGCCAATCATTAACGATGTTTGAGCTCTTGTTCAAGACTTCCCTCAGTATGATTTCTGCCACGTCCGACGGGAAGCAAACTAGGCGGCGCATAAGGTTGCAGTGCAGGTCTAGGTGCTCAGCAGGAAATGATGTGGTTTGAGGAACCACTAAATTTAGTACTGGTTTGGTATTGAGGTTGTTTTATAAAAAGTAGGTATAAAAAAAAATTGAGCTTAAAAATGTGTTTGGTAAATACTTAAAAACAACTTATTTTCACAATTTTGGATGAAAAAAAGTTGAAAACATGAAGCAGCAAAAATGAGCTTATTCTCACAACACAACAGAAGCAGTTTTTTTTCAAAGCACATCAATACCAAACTAACCCCCCCCCCCCCCCCCCCCCGACAAACTTGATTCTAGAGGATAGCTCAAGTTTAGCCTAATTTTCACCATTTCCAGGATAGCACCGGCAATAGACCTTGCGTAAAAGAAATTTTTTATTGTGACCAGAACACGGGTAGTATATCACATGTTTTCATATAAGTGGTAGAAAATTATATTTTTTTTTAAGTTATTGATTTTTTAATACACATATCTCACTATTTATATAATAAAATATGATGTACCATCATGTATTCCGGTCACATTCAAAAATCTCTCCTTGCGTAAGGCTTCTTGGTGGCACGTCTCTTCTTCTTCACAGCTTTTGGTATTCCGTTTTTAAGTTATATGCATTTTTATATGTGTAAAACTTAAAATATAAGACATAAATTATAAAAAGACAATAATTTAATAAAATAATAATTTAATTTGACATATCGAATGGAGAGTATAAATGATATCAAAGTGATATGTTGGCTGTCAAATTTAAACTTTATATTTAAAATTTAACATTTCCTTTAGAGATGTTGTTATTCATTTATTCTGTATCCAGAAACCAAGAGTTTACCCCACGCCTTAACCACGGTTAAAACCTAACCTAACCACTGTTGCTTAGACTTCGTATCCTTGTCCCTACGGGCTATATCCAGCCACCACTTTATCTTCTCTCTCGTTTCTTCTTCTCTCCCCTCTGACTAGAAAAAAAAAAAAAAATTCTCTCTTCTTTCTCTCTGTGAGCAATCAGAGAGTGCTTGAGGAGCCTCAATGCCTCCTACCAGCTCATGATTTCAATCAATCAGGTACCTTCATTTTCCGCTTTTTTTTTTTTTTGAATTTTTTTAAATGAAAACTAGTTGTTTCATTTCTGATTGTTCTGTTTATTGGTTAGGTTAATCTGTTCTTGTCTGCATAATTAATAAATTAATATATTTGTTCTCAATTTTGTGACTTTTCAAGGTTTTTGATGGTTGATCTGTTTGCCTCTGCCGTATCTTACACTCTAGGGTTCTTCTCTTATTCATTTGCAAGTATATGCAATGGATTCTATCTTGGTTTTGTTTGGTGTTTCTTGCTGTTTACCATATTTTTTAATTTTTGGTTTGATTTTTATTTCCGGTTTTTTTTTTTTTTTGTTTTTTTTTTTTGTTGTGTTTAATATTTGGTTTTGCAAAATTTGGAAATGATATGTTTGGATCTGGATTGATTGATGCGTAAACAACGTTTTGATCCGAAAAGACAGCTACTCGCAATTTCCGGGTTTATATTAAATGATGAAAACGAATTAATAAGTGAATCATGTTGCTTAGATAGGTGTTATATTTGCTGTAAACCGGCGCATAAGCTATGTCAGTTTGTGTAAACAATAATAAAAGACCGGAAACTTGGTTCTGTCAATGCTCGTTAATACCGTGTTATTGTAAAGAAATTGTATCTGGAAGATGGTAGATCTGGAGGTGCTTGGCTCTGTTCTTTCAGCTTTAGTCCGTTCGCAGTTGCTGGGTATTACGTGGAACTTAAATTTGGTTTTTATTGCTAATTCCTCGTGATTTTCATGATGCTGGTGGATATATTTTTCTTCTTTTTGTTGTTTTCTTGTTTTTTTTCTTGGATATTCTAGAACCACATCTTTTGTTGCTTGTAGTGATGATGTCCATGCGTTGGGATTATCTTTAGTTCTTTTATTTTCTTTTTCATTTTGTATGTGAAAACAAGGAGTTCCGTTACGTTTCTTTGTTTGCTTGCTTGAATTAGTTGCGGGTTTGATACCCTTCTAATTTATGGTAGCAGTTTCAACTTCTTTATTGTGCTACTTTTTACGTTTGTGATTAATCGTATTTATGAAATTATGCACTTTCCTTGGTTTTTACTTTCATCGAATTTAAGTCATTACTTGCTAGTTCATTGTACCTGATCTATGATCTGCTACAATTGTGGTATTAACTGAGTTATTTGAAATTTATTTCATTTGCAGAAATTTCGATTTTCTTTACTTTCGGGGTTTATCCTTTATTGGTGAACCTTGGCTCTCAGAAATTTTAAAGCTAATAACTGTGCACAAGATTGGAAATCTTCTACAGAGAGAGAAGGGCAGAGAAGTTTGGAAAAAAAAAAAAGAGAGAGAGAAGGGCGGAGAAGTTGACGTGGTTTGTATAAGTGCTAAATGGGGATCTTTGAGGAGCTGGGTTTCTGTGGTAATCTTGACTTTCTTTCTGCTCCATCTGGGGAAGGGGATGCAGCTCCAGAGCATGAACTAGAGGCGACAGTGGAGGAGGATTATAGTGATGACGAAACGGATGTTGATGAGCTCGAGAAGAGGATGTGGAGAGATAGAATGCTATTGAAGAAGAAGCTTAAAGAACAAACTAAGGGAAAGGAAGGAGTCGACAATGCAAGACAGTGTCAATCACAGGAACAAGCTCGGAGGAAGAAGATGTCACGGGCACAAGATGGAATCCTGAAATATATGCTGAAAATGATGGAAGTTTGCAAAGCTCAAGGTTTTGTTTATGGAATTATCCCTGAAAAAGGAAAACCAGTGAGTGGCGCTTCTGACAATCTGAGAGCATGGTGGAAGGAAAAAGTAAGATTTGATCGTAATGGCCCAGCTGCCATTTCTAAGTATCAGGCAGATCATTCAGTCCCTGGGAAGAATGAACACTTCAGTGCGGTGGCATCCACTCCTCACACCTTGCAGGAGCTCCAAGACACCACTCTTGGTTCACTTTTGTCAGCTTTGATGCAGCACTGCAATCCTCCCCAAAGACGTTTCCCATTGGAGAAGGGTGTTGCCCCACCTTGGTGGCCTACTGGTAATGAGGAATGGTGGCCTCAACTAAATCTGCCCAAGGATCAGGGTCCTCCCCCATACAAGAAGCCTCATGATCTGAAGAAGGCTTGGAAGGTTGGTGTTCTCACGGCTGTGATAAAGCACATGTCACCAGATGTTGCCAAGATCCGCAAGCTTGTTTGTCAGTCTAAATGTTTGCAGGACAAAATGACTGCTAAGGAGAGTGCCACTTGGCTAGCCATTTTAAACCAGGAGGAAGCTTTGGCCCGGAGGCTATATCCTGATACATGTCCATCTCCATTTGCTGGTGGGAATGACTCTCTAGCAATCAGTGGAACTAGTGATTATGATGTCGAAGGGGTTGATGATGAAGAAAATGTTGAAATAGAGGATTGCAAACCTCTTGTTAATCACTTCAACATTGGAGCCACTGGACAAAGAGAGAGGCTGGGACCTCAGATTAAGAGAGAGCTCATTGAGATCAACTCCGATTTTGGTCAAAAGAGGAAGCAGCTGGCTGAAGAGCCACAAATGATGTTAAATCAGAAGGTTTACACCTGCGAATATCTGCAGTGCCCGTATCATGATTATCGCCTAGGCTTTCTTGACATAACTGCAAGAAACAATCATCAGTTGAATTGTCCACACCGGAGTAATTCTTCACAAGTGCTTGGAATGTCAAGCTTTCAGCTTCGCAATGAGAAACCTGTGAGCTTCTCTCTACCCATTGCTCAACAACCTACACCAGCAATTCAACAACCAGTGAACCAGTCAAGTATGTTCAATGATTCGGGAGTTGGAATTCAACAACCAGTGAACCAGTCAGGTAGGTTTGATGCTTCAGGACTTGGAATTGCTGAGGATGGGAAGAAAATGATATCGGAGCTTATGTCATTCTATGATAGTAATATTCAGCAGAACAATAACTGCAATCCTGGAAACCTCAATGTTATAGATGATCGCAATCAGCAGCAGGTGAACTATCAATTTCCAGTGAATGATACCTTCTTTGGTCAAGGAGTGGACATAGGACGCAACATGAACATGTCGGAACCATCCCCCATGCTTATGCTTCATCCGGGTTTTTCATCCCCGGAAGTTCAGTTTGATCAGTTGATGGCATTTGAGTCTCCAGTTGGAAACAATTACAGTGAAGATGTCGACATAAGATTTGACTCCCCCTTTCACTTGGCACCAGTTGGTTATAATGCTATGGACCCTCCGGTGAACCAAGATGCATCTCCCTGGTTCCCATGAAGTGGGGTTTCTTATATTAACTGCTCCAATCTGCGTGTTGGAGTTACGCTGTTTAGGTGAAAGCTTCGTTTCAAGTTTAGTTGCTCTTTTTATCTTTTGGACGTGTTAGATGTTTATATGACTGCTAATATGTTACATCCCAAATCTGTGTTTAGGGGTGGCGTGGGTGGGGTGGGGTTGGTTTACACAGTTCTTGAGCAAATAGAGAAGCTTCGTTATGTTTGGCTGGGTATTTATCTGCCGGACTTGTTAGACGTCTAAAACCCTCGAGAACTTGGGGGTTTCTCGTACTGCAACTTTGTCATCTAAGTATAGGTATATATCTAGTTGCAGTATCGAGTAGAGCCAATAAAGGACCGGAAAACCCAATCTGATGTTCTGTGCTTTTGTCGAAGTGTTGGAAACATTTTTCCGGTTGCTAAAGTCGATTTTGGCATGTGGTTTTTGTAATGTATACACACAAGACATCTATATATATATGGTGGTTTTTATATAACTAGCTGTACCTGTTGCTTGTTTCCTTGGAAGAGATTGATTTCAACTGTTCTTGCTATCAACTCCATTTATTTTGATCTGTTGCACGAAAATTCTACTATGCACGAGTCACCAGTGTATGGGATGCCGCCACTTCAATGGCCGGCTAGATTTCTGTGCTTTAAACCTGGAAAGGGATCTTCTCCGGATTCCTTCCTCCTAATCCACCAAGTTCAGGGATCTGGGCCGTTGAAATTTAATCAAATGGCTATAAACAGGAGTTCACTTTAAAAATTATAATAATTTTAGCCGTTAGATTAAATTTTAGTGACCCGAAAGATCCGGATCTCCGAACTTGGTAGATTAGGAGGAATGGATCCAGAGAGGATCCCTTTTCTTTAAAACCTCATACGTAGAGCTCATAATCAAAATTTATCTTCAAAAAGTTTGGAGCAGGAGGGATCCATTAGTCATTAGACTCATTACCAGCCTCCCGCGTGTGCGAGAGTCATTTATTATTACAGATGTTACTTGCCCCTAAAGATTTTTTTCTGTATATCAAAATCACGTCATTCGGTATTGAGATATAATCTTATATATGCATTTTGATTGAGATAAACTAACAACAAACAGACAGCGAATTCGCAGAACAAAACAGAAGCTCTAAACCTCCTCCACTCGAAATACTATTCCGAACGGCCTTACGCACGCTATCAACAATCAATAGATCAATAGGTCTTCACACATCGACATGAAATTTACAATGAATGGATGATACAATCACAAACACGAAAGCTGGTCCTATCTTTCCTGCCTGGAGTACAACGATGCATTGTGTCACCAGGCACCAGCTATGCAACATTGGTGAGTCAATTTCACATCACAACTTCCATTCAGTCTTGGAATGTTTGTCGTCAGCTGTTTGATATGAATTTGCGTCACCACAAAAATCTATACATCGCTTGCGATATATATCCTCACATGCTAAATGTATGCACAGTTACCCTTTTCTGAGTTCTGTTGTCTCTACAAGGATGGCCATCGACCTTGCATGTTGCGCGATGGATGTCCTATAAATATAATTTACGCTCGCTTCAGTTTGTTGATAGTTGATACGGGTCAACCCAACATTTATCCTTCTTTACTGCAGCACTCCATCTTTCCTTAAAGATCTGCATGTCAATAAAGGACTGCATCCTAACCTGCCAACAAATAGCATTCGCCAGATAAGTAGTTGCAAGCAATGTATATGAATTGATAAAATGTTTACATCGTCTACAAATGTGTATGGGTGTGCACGGAGGAGAAATACGCGATTTTAACAGGGCAGCAGTTTAAGAATGCTTACTTTAGATCGATCATTGACTTTATCCGAGGAAGATGGTGCCTGAAATTACAAATGATGAACTCACATTAGAACTCACGTTATAGGTCAATAAATAATCTAATACATTGAACGGAACAAAAAAGTACAGAAAAAAAATGCAGAACACACCAATGCTTTCGAGTCCCCTTTCTGAGAAGGATCCGGGCCATTGGTCACCTATACAAGTGAACAGAAGGAAAAGAGAAAAAGGTCAGAGAATAATATGGAACGTCAAAACCATAGACGAATTTATCCTGCTAGAACAAAATAAATAATCACGTTTGAAATGTTTAGAAACTGCATATTGCATCAATCCAAGTATTTCACACTAATGATGTTGCATCTGCTATAGATGTATGGAATAACAATCAAGACAAGTCTTCAACGTTACTATTTTAAATAGTTAAACGACCCAGGATGCCATGATGCTTGCCTTATTGCCATCTGAGACACCGAGCGTAGGAAGACCAAGATGAACTATATACTCTGAGTCAACCACACCAACGTTTTGTGTTCGATCTCCCTGAAACATAAAGTTCTGTTATCACAAAGTACGTGTGCACAATAACCAAGAGAATAAAAATAGAAGCTATAAGGCAGGAAAATTTACTTGTGCACAATAACCAAGCTGCACATCCAGGCCCCATGCATGGACCAGATCATTCTGTAGGGATAATAAATAATCACCAGAAAGTTCCTTACAAATAGTACAAATTCTCCAAAATATTCTTCTGCGTTTAATGGTTGTTTCTACTACAAGGTATTCTGTTGTGTTTAAATTACATGGATCATTCAGCATCACCATTAATGAAAAATTTGGCGGGCATAAATGATGAAATCTATTTTCACATACTCATCTATATAATGTCGTAAATAGTTGTACACTACCAAAAATAAGTAAACACACTGCGAATGTGGTTGGTATTGGTTTACTAAGGTTTATGTACCTGGATCATGTACCATACACATTGCCATGCAGATCTTGAGAATACAGGTGCCATCATTTCCACCCAACTGTTATGACAGAACATACCAAACACCCGAAAGGAAACTATTCAGAAAAATACTTTATCCGAGTTACAACACAGAAAATAGCGGACAGGAAGTTTCTTACCCAGCACAAGGAGGAGCAGAACTATGGTCGTCACACCTTGCACTGCCTTTATACTTATGAAACCTTCTGTTGAAAAATTAGGCGAAGATGGATCAAACTCAATTCTATGTATGTTTTGATATCCCAAATTGAGGAAAAGAAAATTTATAATAAGAGAAGTACAAGTTTATACAAAACCCCAAAATGGTTGCTATGCCAGAAAGCAATTGATGAAAGAAACCATAGCAACAGTAAGAGAACAGAAAGCAACAGTACAAGAACTCAAAGCAAATATATATGGTTTGGCCATTCCTCTCAATTCAACCGCAGTTCTCCCTCTACAAAACTCCAAATGAAATTTATGTATACTAGATAATTACACAGAAATTGCACAATGATTACCCCTCGGGCCAGTCCTGGTCTAAGCCAAAGCAGGTAACCAGAATGGAGAGGTCCTACAATATCCATTCCGTCACTGAACTTATTGAATTCAACATATCACCCAACTTTAAACTAAAGAAAGTGTGCTACAATATTTAAAAGCGGTCTTATGACAATAGCTGTTACTGTACTACAGAGCACTAAGATTTGGTGCATATTCAAGGAAATACAAATTTCTCTCTACACTGATGAGAAAACAGCCATTTCTCCTAAGAGGTGTAAATTTTATTGACTTATTAAATGAAATAACTTAGCCTCAAGTAAACCTGATGCCTTATCTAGTATGTTGCAGCAAGAGAGTAGAAATGATACTCCTTGGTCCTATAGGGAACTGTGACAATAGATTAATCTAACGGTTCAAGGTTTCATACTCTGTAATCTACCAAGGAAGCAAAAAACAAGTCAGTAGACCATGTCAAGGATTTTAACCAATAGGGAAGGAGCAGCTGCTAGCTGTTAGTTATGGGTAGTCTGTGGACTTTTACATAGGGCAGTAAGAGAATAGTGAGCTACATATAATCCAGAATCCTACAAGTGTTTCATGGAATAAGTAAATACAGGATGAGGCCTCGTTTCAGAAGATCATTGACTTTCCTATACAATTCCTAGAGTGTTAGACAAAGAGTGACGTGTTGCTCGCAACTTTTCTTTAAGGAGTCAAACAATATAATGCTTTTGTGTGTGTTAGCCTAGCTGAGCTGTAGTACATTACATATATTATTCAAGTAGGAAATTTAGTTTCTGAATTAAGATGCGGATGGATAAAAAGTGGAAATTTTATTAACAAAACCCCAATCGGCATTTGGCATTCTTGTTCCTCGACTTTCAAACAATGTATTTAGAGATTGGCACAACATTTAAACCAAGGATGGAACCGAGGACGAAGAGTCTAAACTACATTGGTCTCTACATATATTAGACAGTGAAGTTACCACAGGAAATCCACATTCAAGAAAATATACTACACTGACCTGTGTACTTTTGATTTCTTCACACGTGCAGTGATTGGATGATACACCTCTGACTTGTCAGGATCAAGTGCTGGCTGTGATATTTCAAGTCCCTCTTCCTGAATAATGGATACATATCTGCAGGACATGTTCCAAACACAATGCATTACGTCTCTATGTGATATCAAATCAGTTTCCTATTTTCTTATCTGTGAAACATTACTACTGAATGACTTCGTGATTACAACATTTCATATTCCAGTTGCTACAATAGCTCTGCACCGAGTTTATAATTGAAAAAAACATATATTTTAATATTTGTGAATGGAGGGCTCTTATTTAGTTTTCATTTGGCATTTGTAAGGTCAAAAGTGTAAACGCATGCATAGGTGCTCATAATTCCAAGATTATTCTAAAAAAATAAAAAATGCCATTGGTTACCGTTTTGGGTTAAAATTCTCAACTCCAAGGTCCTCATCCCAAAGAAAAATATATTTGTACTCGGAAACTATATCTGGATGCAGGAAACGTTTGGCGAACCACCTATGTCATCATACAATATGTTTCATTAAAATGTTATCCACAAATGTATAGAGTATTCCCACCCAAAGGTAACTAGCTACAGTTCAAGTGACCATGTGAGAGAATAACCTTTACCATTTTGTTTGATTCATCACAGACACGTGTATGGCACGATCACTCCAAGGTAAATCCCTCCATTTATCCACCACACCATCATAATGAAAAAGCATAACAACAAAATCACTTGATAGAAACTGCAATACAACAGCAGATGTTTAAGATAATATGGATAAAATATTGTAATGTGAAGGGTATGAGCCAATTATATCACTACCTTTTTGACAATTTTGTCCACTATTTCTTTCTGCCTTATTCCAACTGCAATTGCCAGCAAGCTCTTAGAAGGTTTTGAGTTTTCCTGAAACAAGAATTTTGCAAATTTTAGGCAGTACGAACACCCTAAAAGAATAAAAGAAACATATATGCGCACAAACACCTTTTAATGTATACCATTGTAGATAACGAATATTAATAGGAATGAACCAGGTGGAAGCAAGAATTTATGTCCCTAAACTAGAAATTTCGAACTTTCTTATTTGTACAAAAAGTCCCAAAGAAATTTCTATGGGGCTAATATTTCCATTTCCCATCTCATGGAAAACCCTTTTCGCTCCTCTTAGCCCTATCCCTCTCAATATTTTGCAGTCTATTGAGAATGATTTGCATCAAAGCAAACAGATGCAAGAGCATGTTTAATTTAATAGGACAGTAGATGCCACAAGCAATTTTGTTCAGGAAGGAAATAGAAAACACAACAACCAGTCAAGCAAAACCATTTTAAGCTGGTAGAGATGTAGAACAAATGCAAAAGGCATACAAAACGAATGCTAAGTTGTTTTAACTTTAAAGATTTGTTTACATTCGTGCTTCTTTATTTCTTTCCCTCTCATCCCATCATTCTTCTTCATCCCTCATTTTCCCCATATCCGTCCCTCATATCTCAATCACAAAAAGTGAAAACTAAAACTAAAAAAATGAATAATTATCAGACGGGGCCTTTTATCTGAGGTTGCTAAGCAAGGTATGATGAGAATTTGCATCTAAAACCAAGGTACATCACCAAAATGAATGAGTAGTAAGTACGTCGATAGTATACACCCACCCATATCCTAGAGAAAAAAAGGGACCTGCAACAGTTCATTTCATTTTAGAGCTATGTCTTCACAATGTTCAGGACTTCAGACAGATGCCAAAGAAAACAAATTTCACTAGCTTTAGGACCATGTAAAGTTTAACAAAACATGTCAATCCAATTAAGATGCTTCCAGCATACTAATATGCTCTTGACTTAGTTAAATGATACATAAAAGACACAGAGAAGACGGGATAAAAAACTACTTAGCAACATGAACCCGTGCTTCTCATACAAAGGATAAGTATGCATTATCATTTATCAATTAACAAGAAAGAACTAATAGTTTCATAAATGGAATGAATCTAGTATTCAAGTAAAAATCGCCATAGCCACACGTACATTTTTCACAGATGAACCCCATAGAGGCAGCGGTTCCAAGTCAGATGTTTTGGCAATAATTCCTTCCGGTAATGCCTCACTCCCTGAAGGTTGGCAACGATTCTGAGGATGAAAAGGAAAACAAATTCAGCAATAGAAGTAACTTCAAATGCCATAAAAAAAAAAACACTTAATATTCCCGGTAAGATGCAAACCTTGCACGTATGAAAATTTGTATTCTGCCTATTGTAGACCACTTTCCATCTTGTTAATTTCTGCAAGAAAGATTTCCGTGACCATTTAATTGATAACAGGTAATACAGAACTTGCAGAACAAAAGTAAAAGGTGCACACAACTTGAAGAACAGAAAAAAAAAAAAAACAGACATACTTCCTTGTACTCGTGAGCAATGGTTGCACCACCGATGAAGTAAGCCCCGCAGATCAAAGAAGCTAGAATGAAGAGACTGCAGTAGAATGACCTATTCTTCGGGTCAGACAGCGCAGCGGCCTGACAAAAACAATGAGGAAACTAGTCTTAAAAGTTAGTCACATTGTATCACATTTGATCCCATCAAGCCTTCAAGGGGGTCGATTAGCAGATGAAGTAAGGACGAAAATAGGAGTCATTTCACTGCGCAACTAGCCATAAACATTCGTCCAGAATCCGAAATAAAATCGATACAAAACAATTCATTTCTTAGCCCAAGAAATTGTTTTCAAGTCTAGGCAGTTAAAAGACAAGAAACAGTACGTTTCCCCCAAACATTGTCGATAAGCAAACAGAGAAAAACAATTTAATCGATTCACCACTCCAATTTCAACATAGCAATACGACTCTCGCTATCCCCAGTAACTATTCAAGTTAATGTGCTGCAAGCCTACATCTTTAATCCAAGAGAATCACAACCCCGTCTCAAAAACTCACAGTTAAGTAGAATCAAACAAGAGAGAGAGAGAGAGAGAGAGAGAGAGAGAGAGAGAGAGAGAGAGGGAGGCTTACAGGGTTGATCATTTGTGCTGCAACTTTAGGGAACTCTGAGAAGAAGAGGAAGAGGAAGAAGAAGAAGTTAAAAGGACAAGTATTCTGTAACACACAAGTCTGAAAGTAAAGAAAGGAATTGGGAAGAAAAAGATGGAGTCTTTGGACACCCAAACGTACAGTACAGTAATATGCCAAAAGACACGCGTGCCAGCCTTATGAAACGGTGTCGATATCCCAGAAGCAAAACCCAACGCCTTCGCTTTTCAAATCAAAACCCAGTGAAGAAGCAGACAGAAAAGTTGGACACTGACGGTGACAGAGGACCGATAAATAAAAATAAATAATTTTTTTTTAACAAAATAAATAGTTGGAATTAATTATTTGAATAGGAAGAGAGGAGAAGAAGGGACAAGGAAGTGGGTATAATTAAATTAAAATAAGAATTGTACACATGCTAGCCATGTGCATTTTAATGTTTAAACAAAATTGAGAAAATGTTAAAATATAAAGTAGCCGTTAAAATTTTTCTATGATTATTTTAAAACGATTTTTCCTCGTTGAAAATGTTGTATTTTTTTATAACTGTTTCTTAATACTATTTTATTACTAAAAGATTCGTAATATGCAATGTATTGTCCTAGAGAGCGATGCTCTGCAAGTCGTTCAAGGGGTTGGGAGCTTGAGGAGGGGGCCATCCTCTTTGGATTTGTTGGTGGATGATGTCTGGGAGAGTTTGTGAGGATTTGGTTCCTCTAAAATTTATCATATTCGTCGTTCCGCCAAAGGTGCGGCTCAGACCGGCCAAGTTGGCCTTAGATTCTACTTCTAGTTTTCATTGGTTTGAGGAACTTCAGGATTTAATTTAGGATATCCTCTTTGAAGATTATATGCCTTCTTCTTGATATGAACAAAATCACTATCGTTTCCTTTTTTAAAAAAAAAAAAAAGTTTATTTTATTTGAGATAAATATGTGGAAGAAAAAAAATATAGGCTAGTGATATTATTCGGATATTATTCGGCCGTGAGTGTCACATCCCGGCCCGGGGTGGAAACACTTCCCGGGCCCGCTCCACTACCGTAGCACGATATTGTCCGTTTTGGGCTTACCATTCCCTCACGGTTTTGTTTTTGGGAACTCACGAGCAACTTCCCAGTGGGTCACCCATCATGGAATTGCTCTAGCCCCCTTCTCGCTTAACTTCGGTGTTCCTACGGAACCCGAAGCCAGTGAGCTCCCAAAAGGCCTCGTGCTAGGTAGGGATGAGAATATACATTTAAGGATCACTCCCCTGGGCGATGTGGGATGTTACAGTGAGCCTTAAAAAAAAATTAGTAAAATTATTTTGTGTTTAATTTACTATATTTTATTATTTTAAATACTTTTTTACAGTTTTTTTTGTAGGTTCGTCAAAATTTTTGTTAATAAGTGGTTAGATATGATCACTTAGTATTACAGTCTAGTGATATTTTTTTTCACTCTCAAATTCGATTCTTATAAGGTAAATTTAAATCGTATTATTGTTAACTCATTGTGAAACTAAACCGTTCACTCCCCTTAGTATCGTTTATTAAAAAAGAAAAAGAAAAAGTTAGATATGAGTTTTTGTTGTTAAAAAACCTGATTAATGAATTATAAATTTAATTAAATTGAGGAAATGATGAGTTGAATGACTTGGAAGCCGAATCGTACACCGCCAGAAAGTGCTTTTATATGCGGGAATGTTTGCCGTGGGAAGGAAAACGCGGCACCACTTGCCAAAAGTCTACTCGCTCGTCTAGCTTTACACTTATACTCGCCTTACCTTGCTAACAAGTACCATTCTCTTTTCCGTTTTCTCAGAATTAAAAGAAACGGTGCATAAAGAATTCGATTATTTAAGGACAGGAAGAATTCGATTATTTAAGAGATAGAAATAATTTATTATTTAAGGAAAGAAAGAATTCGATTATTTAAGGAAAGAAAGAAATCGATTTAGAAAGAGAATTATTGTTAAAAGAAAGTCGAAAAAAATTTGGTATTTTAGTACAGTGTTCTAAAAATTGGCCTAGGCAGCGCCTAAACGTTGGAAAGTAGCCAACCGCCGCGCTTAACTTCTAATCGGCTAAAAAATTGGAGAGCAAATTAGACGGGCGTTGGACGGGATTAGGCGGGATTAGGCGAAGCTGGGTGGAGACTAATTGGGCTTATATGAAGACGCCAGAATCTACAATGTTTTTTGTTGCAGAGTAGGCTTCGCGAAGAAGAAGATTGTTCCCTAACCTAATTTTGCACGATTCAATTAAGACGGTCCCACCATCTTTTATCTATAGCTGCAACGTTTTCTTTGAAATGGTCCCCACCATTTTTTTACAAATTTTTATACTCTTTTCTTTTTCTACTCTTAACCTGTTATTACTTTTCATTCTGTTTTTTATTTTATTTTTTTGTTATAATGTTTTATTATTATTATTTTTTTTAAGATCATACCATTTGTATTTTTATTATGTACCTAAAAATTATTATCCATAGATTCCATTCAATTATAATTTTTTGTAAGTGTCAATATGCACTTATTTACAAGATATATAAGAAATTTATCTAAATTCGCCTACACCGCCTAGATCCTGCCTAGGCGCTAGGCACCAGCCCGCCGCCCGACTAGCGGCTAACGTTTTTTAAAACCTTACAAAAAATTAAGTTAGTTGCTGTAAAACTATAAATTTTAATTGATACAAAATTAGTTGAGAATTCACGTGTTACAGTTTTATTTTGATATAAAGATATCTCAATGCTCGGAATAAGGGGAAACACCACTTGTCCTTAAACAATTAGAGGACATTGGAAAAGAAAAAAAAGATTTCTCCAATTGTATAATGACATGTGATGTTCCGTTTCGTATTTCGAACACATTGAAAAATCTTTCTAATAGACCAACCATAATTGAGTGTCGAGCTCACCATCTATAAAAATGGGACCTGAGAATAAGTGGTAGGGATTTGAACAATCATAAACTATAGTACAAATGAAGCAAAGAAGTAATTATATTTTTGTTGGTAATAAGTGTGAATAATGTAATTGGTGTATCATAATTTTAGTTTGGTATAAAGCGGTCAACTCGAACAAATATCACATGCTTAATGGACAGGTTAGCCAATGAATGACATGGGATCATCTCATCTACATTAACAATGAAATTGACAACTTCATTAAGTTGGGATGACATGAAATTCTCTAAACAAAATAACTACTAATAGTTACTTAGCACTACAGTTTAATCATACACATATTTATGGGTGGTTTTGGTACAATTACCGTACCAAAACTCCCGTTTCAATTACTATACCAAACTTTTGGTATTGCAACATTGATAACCATTATTGCGCCAAACTTTTGGTATTACCGAAGTTAGGTATGCCAAATACTTCTGTTGGCATAATATGGTAATGATAATTACCACTTTATTTTGGGGCACTACTTTGAGCCAAAATTTGAAATTTTTTTCATCAACCCAACACTTTTTTTAATTTTTTTCATCAACCCTGTAGGTAATTCATACCTTTCAGATTATTTAATCATACTTGAAGCCAGCAGGTAGCAAGCACAAGCAGTCAAGAACGGCAGGCAAGAAGCAGAGAGTAAAAAAAGCACAGGCAACAGCACACCAACACAATCCCAGTAGATTTCATATAATTGACACTCATTAAATATATATTATTTTATATATATACTTCATGTACTAAACACTAAATATATATAATAATATATATTTATATTTTTCGATACGATATGGTAATACTATGGTAATGGTATCGAATACCAATACCATACCAAAAAACTTCAGCTCGGTACATTACCATGCCATTACCGATTGACACAAAATCGGTATAGTACCGTTGACAATTCGGTTGACACAGTAATTTGGCAAAAAAATCCACCCCTACACATATTCACTTATAAATCAAAGGTCTTAAATTCAACTCCATGGATGACAAGATCCGCACAAAATTATTATGGTTATCATTGTCTACTTAGCTTAAATTCTCCGTTCCTTAATGTAAATATATAATTTTATTTAAAAAAAAACCGAATACAAAAAGAGACATATTACATGAATTCCAATCGGGCATGAACCATCCTACGAATAATTTTTTTTTTGTTTATCGAAACATTAAGGTAAACCAACTAATGATTTTAATTTGTTTTGATTATCAAATATGTGAAACCATTATTATATCCAGTGGTTGGGGACGAATTCCAAACTCATGTTCCACACGGTATGTTCCGAGTTTGATTCTTAGCGCATGTGAATACATGATGGTGATTAGAATATGTTGAAATGCTTATGTGAGTCTTTTTAATCCCGAAAAAAATAAACTGCCAAAATCACCAACTAATCCCTTTGCAGCAATGATTATTATATCCACTCGTGGTTTTAATCATGGCCAACAAAATATGCCATCATTTTGGCGTTAATGTAACTTTTTAATCATGGCCTCTATTTGGATTTTTTTTTAGATGCGTTATTTGTTTACACTAATTTACATTAAAGAGAAGAAAAAGGATTGAAAGAAGAACCCTAACCACTAAATCAGTATACCACCATTCAAATCCGGTGCAGGTGCCATAACTTCATCGTTTACATCTTCATCATCATCGCTTAACTCATTTTACTCATCTTTGGATGCGCTTGCATTTTTCAAACGCTATTCTTCTTTAATTGTAACTAAGTAAGAGTTTTTAAGTTCAAATTTCGAAAATAACGAGTTTGCAATTAATTTGTTCTCGACTCTCTTAGTGCATATAACCAAAGATATTGTTTAGAGATATCATTCCAATCCAACTCCTAATTTAGGTGGATATATTTATTAATTAATTAAATAAATCTAACATGTGTCAATAAAATGACTAAGAGAGAAACTAACACGTATCCTTGTATTGAGAAATAATAAGGGGACTCTCTCAAAGTGGATTCTCCATGGAATCTCTGTGACCTCACAATTTAACGTCAATTTCCGCGCTAACATAAAAAAACATTGTGTCAAAAACATGAGGTACATAAAATTCATGAAGATTCACACTTTTGAAAGTCTCCTTAACATTTCTCTCATGTACTATTGGTTGAAAATAAAGGGTTTAGGATAAATTAAAAATCTCTACAATCTCACAATTCTCAAAATACTACTTCAATAATTTTATTTATTCTTCTCTAGAAGGAGGTATTTATAAGATTACAAAGGAGCAATACTAGAAAAAAAATAAAAAAAAATCCTTTATCTACAAGACAAGGAAACCTAAACTAAATCAAATCATATCAAAACCTTAATTAAATCATATAAAATCACTAATTAAATCAAATCCTAAAATACTTTCCTTTTTATTTTCCAACATTATTGACACGGAACACTATCAAAATGGAATAATCGTATCATACAAATTATTCTCGTTCTTTACACTAGAGACTGACCAATTTTCTTCTTGTACAACGCAACATGCATGCTCTTTTTACATGTGCAAGGAATTTTTTAAAATTCGGATAAACAATCAACCGGACTGACCCATAATCCAGTTTGATTATTTTTTTTTAAGGGAAAAAGAAATGATCCATATAATCCAGAAAACTTAACAATCTCCAGCCATTTCGGCTGGGAGGGCGTTTCTGAATGACCCATATCTTTGACAACAAGTTTCCGACTCCTCCAAAATATAAAACTTGGAGAACAAGTTTAGCTCTGGTCATGTGTACACACACACACACACACGTCAAAACACAAAAAAAGCGCCTGGAACTACATCGAGTAAAAACCTCTTCTTCCAGACATTCGCCAATTTGCTTGCTTCCATGCCTCGCCGAAGCTCAGGAGGTCGATCAGCCCGTGCAGCTCCCCGCCGTCATGCACCAGCACGCAACCCTCCTCCTCAGCCTTGTACGTACTTATGTGAAACATATATTATCGGACTTGTTTCAAACTGCTTCTTTTGCTCATAAGCACTTTTATTAAAAGCACTACAATTAAAAGCACATTGAAATTTTGCTTCCTAGAAAGCATTTTAAGTACTTTAGTAGAACTCAAAAGCACTTTTAACTTTTTTTGTCAAACATGATTAGAAGCGCTTCCAATAAAAGCACTTTATAGAGATGTATCTCCAAACGAGCCCTAAGTCACTAGGAATGGGATCAAGTAACAAGACTTAAAACTGAGAAACCAATTTCTTCAAATAACGAAGGAAGCGAGGTTCATCATAATTCATAGAAGTGCCACACACAACATATCAAAATCCTTCCTATATCATCTCACTCATGCATAACTGCAAAAAGTTTTCTAAATAGTTTTGCATCCATAATCAAGACTTTCAAGTAATCCTCTAAAAGCGGTTTTAGTCATTTTAAAAGCACATCAGAACCGGCTGATGCAATGTTCTCCTTTCCACCTTTAATTGGATTGTTTATGTGTTGCCTTGCAGTTTATGAAGCTCGTCGTTCTCCATCTCCAGCTCCAGCTCCGACTGGCCGTGGTGGATCTATGTTTTCAGGATTTGTTCAGGGTACGCACGTACGTGGATAGATAATGTTTTTGTTCGTTTAGTTGCTTATAATTATTGTACATTATAAAATACAATCATTCGAATTGGTCTTCTTGCATGCAGGTATGGCTTTGGGGATTGGAGATGCCGTGGCACACAGGGCTGTGGATGCTTTGATGGGTCCTCGCCGCGTCACTATTCGAAATGAAGCTGCCGCTGCTGCTTCTCCTACTCCTGCGGTTCCTGCTCGTCCTGCTGCTGCACCAGTACTAGAAACCAGGGCTAGCACTAGCAGTATCAGTGGTTCAGATGCCTGCAGTAATCATTCCAAGGCATTTCAAGATGTATGCAATCCTTTTTCTTTTATTATTTTCCCCAAGATTTATTGTGAATTTCAGGGACCGTTTGATAATCATTTCATTTTCACTTCACCCTTTTTTTTTTTTTGAACCTGAAAACTAATTATACGATGACCTTTGGGTTTTTTTGGGGAAATTCTTATATGACCACCTTTGTGCAGTGCATCGACGAGTTTGTAAGTGATATCAACAAGTGTCAGTGGTACATGGATAAGCTGTACGAGTGCAAGAACAACTCCGGCATGTTGAGTGCTTAACTAAGCACTGCTTCCTGTGCCTATCAAGATAGTGAATTAGTGGTCTATGTTTGGGGGAATGATTTCTTTAAATAAATCTTCATATAAGTAGTAGTACCTCTTCTTATTTGAACTTGATCCTACGATGCTTGTTTCGTGTATTCATGCTCGTTAATAATGATTTTTGTAACTATTTGCTGGATATATAGTTGAAGAGTTTGAGCATATGATATACTCACATATCAACTGTTAACACTGAGTTCAATAACAGTTTAAGTTTGGCGATTAAGTTTTTTTATACCGGTTCCTTGAACTGTTTTCGACTATGAAAGGGAGACTGGATGGACTTATTTGTGAAGAGCCCAAAAACTAGTTGGAGTCATATTTGACAAGAAATGTTAAGACTTCATCAAACTTGAATTCTTGCTTTTAACTAAAAGAGATGAGACGAGAAGGAAATGTGAACAGGAAGAAATTCTGAACAATGCACTCAAATTCTTTGTTTACAACCATGTTATGTACAAAGTACCGTTTAGAAATTAAGCAACCCTAAACCTCTCTAAGCGAGCATCGGAGACGCGTTTTCTCAGGTTAACTTTCAAACGCTGTAGAGGAATGTTTATGTTGGAACGGAACAAAATTCATATACATTGTGTTTGTTTATGATTATAATTTCCTACCGCTCTCATTCTGTGGAATCAAACAGGTTGGAAGACGGCTGAGAGCAAGTTACATGAAGAGTGATTGAAATTAAACTGAATATTTTGCTTGCAAATCTATGGGTGTACAAAGGCAGGAGATACCTCCACAAAAATAACTATCATGGAAAAACAGACAACCTGTCTTTTTCTCGCTACTGGCTAGCTGTCTCTACATATTTTCACAAAATTCTGATCATGTACAAATTGTGTTTTACTTCTTCTGCTGTGGTGATGTGATCTCGTAATCATTTACCTAACAGTAATCCAATTTCCTGACGACTCCAAGTGATTCTCAGATATCTGCTGCCTTCTCGAAAAAGGGTTTCTACTTGGGCTGCTGGGGAACTCATCGCAATCGCAGCTCTCGAATCCCTGATCTGAACAATCAGAACCCTCTTCGTAAAGTCCAATGTCTAATGTGCTCGCTGGTGAGTAGGTCGCACCATTTCTTGAAAATTGCATTGAGTTTCCAGACACAAATGGATGGTTGAGCAACTCCTTAGCAGACCACCTCCTTTTGGGGTCTCTCTCCAAGCACCTTGCTAAGAAATCCAACCCTTCGTCCGAAAGCTTTTGCGGGAACTGAGGCCTCTCATTGCCACAAGCAATCTTCAAAACAGCAGCAACCGGATTCCAAATCTCATTGCCCCAAGGAGGCCTCCCGGTAACCATTTCAATCACCGTGCATCCCAATGACCAAATATCCGAAGAAAATTCTAGCCCTTCGTTTCTCAAAACTTCAGGAGCCATCCACAATGGAGTCCCGCCAATACATTGCAAAGAGTGCTGCACTGAAACCCCGTCAGCCTTTGAGCCCTTTAGCCTCTTTGCGAAGCCAAAATCCGCCAACTTGACATTCCCGGAGGATCCCAAGAGCACATTGTTGCACTTGAGGTCACAATGCACAATCCCACTTTCATGAAGATACTCGAGGCCGTGAAGAATCTCCCTTGTGTACAACCGAACCACTTCTTCCTCCAATGCCCCGCCAAATATCTGCGACACATCTGACAAACTACCCCCTGCCATGTACTCCATGAACACATTAGTGCATTTCCCGTCACCATTTTCCCTCCCCATACATTTAACAACATGTGGGGAATTCAAACTCTCGAGAATCTTAACCTCGTTCTCAAGAGCCTCAGCTCCATCCCTAGACTGAGCAGATTTCACAACGAAAAGCGCTCCTGTGGCTTTGCTCATGGCCAGATGAACACTCCCATAAGAACCAGAACCGACCATTTTTCCCTTCATCCACTCACCCGGCAGAGGAGATGTGCACTGATTGGGATTCGCAGCCATTTCTTCTTTGATATTTTGAATCGGGCAAGAAAACCCAACTCAAAACACGATGCTTCTGGTGCCTCTAAAAGCATGCAGATAAAAACACTATGAATTGTAGGATATCGAAGACCGATGTGTTTATAGAGGATTTAAAAAAAAAAAAGGAAAAAAAGAAAACAGGTTGATGGAAAAAAAAACTTGCCAACAGTTCCAGATTGAATCGAAATCGGAAACATAAACAAAACAAGGAGTTATTTTAGGATTAAACTGAAACTTCAATGACAGAATTACTCTCTTACTTTTATGGTAATCAGAGTTTCCAAAAAAATTAAACAAAGTGCAAGAAAAAACTATAATGATGGTAGAGCGGTTTCCCTTTCGCACGGAAAACCGCTCTAGCAGCAAGAGATTTCTCCTGAAGTTTTTAGAAAGCAGAAAACTTTGATGATCTCCTTTTTCCCAGATACAAAATTATGGCCAGGAGGAAAAGGAAATGAAAATTTGAGGAGGAATTTGGAATTTATATGAAGTCTGATGGGGGAGGAAAAAAACGGTTGGCCATCCTAGCCTTGTGGAACGCCCTTGAGTCCTACGGGTACCTGCCACGGGGCAGAAACTATAATCTAATTCATGTTTCCTCACACAGAACAAAGAATGGCTATTGAGACACTGAATTTCTTGCCGTTCATTTCTCTCAAGTTCGAATTATGTCCCTGCGGATTAATAGATTACTAGCCTCTCTGCACGCACTAACGTGCGTGCGAGAGGCATTTTTGCATCACGGGCACTACGCGCCCCTAAAGGTGTATTGTGTTAGTTTTTCCCATTGTAAATGTCAAGATATACTTTAAATGTATTGTGCAAAGAGGAACTTTTTTTTTTATCATGCACGTCCTAGAAAGTTATCATGTTTTTCATTTTTACTTTGTGTAAAGTAATGATTTAAATGTTATTCATGCACTTATCAAACAACATACGATTTTAGATGCAAGTTCCTACCTAAAGCCTATGAACGATATCAAGTAAATGTAAATAAAGAATAGAACCTTGAATCAGATTTCCCAAAAAATATGCCAAGAAAAGCAATAAAATAAAGAATAGAAAATTTACTAATTATACAATTGATTACTAAATATATTTTATTTATGTTAAAACCAAAATTTTAGTTTGGTATTAAGTACTCTTTACTTTTGATTTTGGGTCCCCTTTTATATCTTATTTGTTTTATTTTTTGTGCGTTTGGCAACTGGCATGTGGTTGTCATTCACCATTTTAAATACAAAGAATGAAAGAAAATTCATTAAAACTCAATAAACAGTGCATATGCAACTGATCAAGAAAAACAGAATTCAATATAAATTATTTTTTCTTTTGATCAATGGAGAATAGCACTACATTAACTTTTTTTTTTTTTCTGTTTAAATTAAACAATATATTTTATTAGATTAACCACCGATGAGATTCGAACACAAACTATCATGCAAGAGCTTTACTCTTTTCCACCACTGTGGTAAAGGCCCACTTGCCACTTGATGGACATTTTATTTTATGTTTTTCACATGAGTTGAATGAAATTCACAGGCAACTACATAGGCTAAATATTTGGGATAGGCTATACACAAAATTATCTAAGCAGAAACAAATAGAATTAATATGAAGAGAAAGCAGACATGGATAAAGACAAACATATTAACTGTGAGTTTTACGGGTTTTATTGTATGAATAAACGTTTGCACCGTCAGATTTAAATGTAATGTGTCTTAAACTTCATGTTTGAACCTATGGTGTAACAAAAAAACATATTTGCATAGCAAACCCGGCTACATCATTGTTATTGAACATATGGTGTAACAGAAAGCAGAAGAAATCAATCTGAACATATGAAGACAATTAACAATGTTGTTCTACAAAAAAGAAATTAAGAGAAAGCATTCAAAAGTGAGGCCATAGCTAAAATTTAATAGCATCCCACGTTGCCTCATTGTCGATCAAACTTCTCTAATTCGCCGCAAAGTAAACATAATCCTGAATCTTGAGAAAACCAAATTCAATTAAATAATAGTTAATAAGCAGCAACAATGGATTGTTTTAATCAAAATATTAACTTGATTAAACAACCAAGTCATCTCATTTTTGCCTCACAAACATAAGCTGATGAAGCTAGTAAGAGGGTACAATTTGTTAAGCTTAATAGCCTTTATGCACATAAAATACCTTTTCCAAAACACCTAAATATATATATATATATATATTTTTAAATGAATAACTTCAATGCTTTAAGCCACAGGAAGCTTGTAGAACAAAGTTAACATGAAAAATGAATAAAATGACAGGCACACCTATAAACAACAGGAAAAAATGGAAATCATCAACGCTAAATTCCTCAACTTAACTATCTCGAGAGTTATTGGACTGAAATGATGCCAACCATATGACAGAGAAACAAATAAAAACGTGTAAATTCATAAATCAAAGTTTTAACTCAATCAAATATTATTCCAATGAGAGTTGTAAAATGCAAATAAAGCCATTTAACAACAAACTGTTTCAACCATTTGACTACCCGCAATGTAGACAAAGAAATCTGATACTCATAGTATATAACTGCTCTATTTATCTCTCTGCAAATGACAATTAATAAAATGGAAAACTGAAGTATACCTTGGCTAGTTATTATTTTGGGTCGCCATCTCCAGTTGCTCCAAATAAAAGAGAGGAAGCGTGTGAAGGCAAAATTGGAGGCTTCTCTTGAGTTCTTGAGTTGGCACAGGCGGCTGTCGACCACGTCTCCTAACCTGTAACGTGCTAAAATTATCGATTCAACAGAGAGTGTTTAACTAAATCTTATCTCATTGGCAACGGCACATTATAATATCAAGCACATCTTTTGTGTTTATAGATAATAGAATTTTACACTTTTAAGTAGGTATTTTTCATTTTCAGAACAACAAAATTAGGAATCGAACATAAATATGAACATCAACTATTATACAAAAGTTTGAGATGAAAATTAATTAGTCATGCAAACCTTTTTAAAGCAATCGCGATTCTATCTCTATTTGAATACAACACCATTGAGCTGAGGTTCTCAATTTTCTTAGCTTGCTGTTGCACCATCTTCTCTCTTTCAGCTTGGGCTTTTTTTTTCCTCCAACTCCAAAGCCATACGCTCCCTCTCTAACTCAGTCTGCACAGAAAGTACGCATGTCCCAGAATACACTTGCATTCAACTAATTACAATAAACATAAAGTGTAACCTCCAAACCTGCAATAACGTGTTTTGCAGATTGAGGATTTCCTCTGCCCAACGTTCTGAATGATATAAAAGAGAACTACAAATTGAAAAACTTGAACTTAAACTGTATCCTTTCCGTTTCATTTTTCCCTGCTCAAGGCCCATTCAAATTGAAAAGAGAACTACTCAACCACTGTAAATACAAATCTTTTAACTTTCTCCAAAAAATGAAATCACAGAGAATTGCATTTTAAGCGTGAATCTAAGGCAAACGTACCAAAATGCCCATGATCCGTTACAACACACCGCCCTTTGCCATCAACTTCAGTAGGTCATCTCTCGAAAACTCCTTAAGCCCTTCCGCAACTGCATTCATTTGTCCTTTCCCACTGTCAAGAACTCCAGTGAATGCTTCCTCCGCCGCCACCGGCAATGCCACTTCGTCACCCGATAACGTCGACTTCAACCGGCAAAACGTCGGACCAAACCACATTTTATGCAAAAAAAATGAATCAAAATTCGAAACTAAAGGTGCAACATTTGAAGAGTATGGCAATTTCGAGCTAATTTGACAATTATCAAGGAAAAATTCAAAAATTAATTGGCGATTACCGATTCCGAGACCAGATTGGAAATAAAGGATGATGGCGCCCATTGCGGTGCCTTCGCGGCAGCGTCGAGGTCTCTCCAACATAACTACTGGTTCGAGAAGATGATGGGATTTGGCGACGATGGGGTGGACTCCGTTACTTTAGGCAACGATTCGATTTTTGTATGGAGGAGTAAGACCCATAGAGAGAGAGTGGAGGAGGAACGGGAAGAAGTTGGAGCGCAAGGATGGGGAAGTTGGTGTGGGGAGGTTGGAGTGGGACTACTACAACTGTTTCAAATACAGTTTCCAACTCTCTGCACGTCTAATTTGTCTCCTCTTTTTTCTCTCCTATCCCACGTTTTTACCATTCTATCCCTATTCTTTTTATATTTTTTCTTTTTCTTGTAACTGTAATTAAAGGGTCAATTTTTTCAGTGATGGTTTTTTACCAGTTTGTCCCCATTTTCCGATTTTTGTGGATTTGGATTGTGAAGAAAACAAAGGGGCTTTCTTGGCATTTTGGAAAGCTTCACCAAACTGGGGCTCTCCCTTTATATATATAGATAATAGTTTAGAATGCCATTTCTGAAAATAGAAACAAATTAATAACCACTTCTTACCAAATTGGTTTTCTTATTGAATGTCCAACATCACTGTGGTATATGTTGAATTGTAATCTTGTTTTGGCCCAAAAATAATTGATCCGGCCCATACACAAAGAAAGATTCATGCACATGCTAGGGAATTCTAGCAAAGTTCAAGTTGGTAGAAGAGTCTAAAAGAATGGTGAGGATTCCACCAACATACAAGATTAGTGTAGATAATTCTAGCTTAGGAAGGTAGTGAAATTATCTGGATATCTCTAGCATGATGCTTCCATGCTTCTCCAAGGTTCCATCCATGCCTATAAAAGGAGAAGGCATCCACACCATTTGTAACAACCAAGAGAGCAATTAGTGAGAAGTGAGAGTGTTAAGTGAGAAGTGAGAAGAAACAACAAAGCTTCTAAGAGTGTTTGAGTGTTTCCTCTTGTACTAGTTTGTGAGTGAATAAAAATTTGTATAACACTTTGAGTGTTCTTTCTTTCTCTTGCCTATCAAATTCCGCTGCATTACATTCTCCTTTGTGAGATAAATATCTCCAAAGTAGTGAAGCATTTTTTAAACCCCAACAGTATATACATCAATTTATTACAAAATCGAAATTCGATATTGTTACATATGGGTAGAAATTTCACTCATAACCACATCCTCTTGCAAGTATAATCGAAAACAGTCTGCAAAATACTTCTTGATGAATCGTCTTCCGGCAATTTTAGAAGCTGAGCAACTTTTGAGAATCCAGCCTCGTGCCTAAGCGAAGAAACTTCAGCTGCTTCTAACTCCGTCTCCTGCTTGAACAGCGGTGGTTTTGATAATGCCCACTGCATTGACCAAATGGCCAGAGGGCGCATGTAAGATAAAGATCTGAATTCTCCGCTGGTGGTCCAAGCTTCGGGAGTTTGAAAAGAGTATCTGTTGATAAAATAATAAAGGAGTTAGGAAGCGAGAAACGGAGAGCAGATAACATATACATCAATAGGTTGAGTTAACAAGAAATTGACAGTGAGTAAGTCAACATTTAACGGATCACATCCCTTCGATGAGGTTGTCGACAATCTTCAGTATGTTTGCATCTCAGAAACTTGGAAAAGAAGTCATGTATTGGCATTTGTTTTAGCTAACACCCGACATACACTTCACACAGATATTTTATGTCCAAACGTAGCTTGCAGGTTAGCGATTATAAAGTTAACTCACCCAA